GTAACATGAAATCTGTATTTCACCTCTCACTATAAATTTCAATTTAATTAGGTTAAGTACCATTTTGAATTTAAGATAGGGATAAATATTTCCAAAGCCCAAAATTTAAACTTCAAACTTAGCAGCAACAATTCTCAACTTATAAAAATTCAACTTTATATACTTTATTCCAGAAAGAAAGAAAGCCTAATGGTTTTCTTCAATTAATCAACTACAACAATCAAAAAAGCCACAAACCAACTGCTTCTTTAACAGTGCCTGCTTTTGGAGGGAGTCAGATATAGGGCCAACCTAAAGTTTCTAAGACTTATTCACCAAGGGATTAAAAACTGAGTGTCAGGCAAATCACAACTCCTAAATATTCTAAAATAAGCTGAGTAAACTCATCATACACTCAGACTCTTAAAAAACAGAAGTTTCGATCTAATGATCACTCTCGAATACAATCTCAAATGTCTGTTAATGTTCCAAGTTTCTCCTATACATTAAGAAACATCAAAAGGCAAGCAAGTTGTAGACAAAAGACTAAATATTAGTTGCTTAAATGTGTATAGAACACTAATTTAGTTAATTCTCACAATCCAGTGAGGAAACCACAGGAGTCTGAGAGTTTGAGTACAACTCTTCTGGAATGAACAAAACTAAAACTGCACACTGCTGTGACTTTAACTTTTCTTCTATAAAGAGGTCTGGGAGCATGCCTTATCGCACTTACAAAAAGCATGCAAAGAATGAGGTGGTTTCTGATTTGTAACCATCATACCCCAGTTTTTCCTGCAATTTCAATCATAGTACTCTTCCTCAATCTTGGCTCAAAATAATTTTATGTTAAATTCAGAGACCGAAAGTAGAATAGTGATTGCCAAGGACTAGGTAGAGAGGTGAATGAGGAGTAACTGCTTAATGGGTAGTTTCTTTTGGGGTAATAAAAATGTTTTGGAATTAGAGGTGGTTGCACAACATTGTGAATGTACTGACACTGAACTGTTTACTTTAAAATGGCTAACTGTGTTATGTGATTTAAACCTCAATTTAGAAAAAGTAAGTTAAGATATATATAGATAAAATTGACCCCCCTCAGAACTCTTCTCTTCTACAAAAGCATTGCTACCATGTTCAAATGCTTTTTAAATGGTGGAGATTTTCAGATGAAAATGCATTACAAGTTAAATTATTACCATATATGCACAGTAAAAATCATTGTTTTGTACTGACATCAGTGCTAAAATGCTTGACAAACATCAAAAGAATATTGCTCTGACATACATTTGTAAATAATCTCAAAGAAAAATATAAATGAACCTTAAAACATTTATTCCTCTATGACAGAACACAATTTCATCCAAGTCAACCTACTGCATGTACGGCAAACTCAAATTTTTTACCAGCATTCTTTTACCAAGCTTAATCAGAGAAACACTGTGAACTGATAAGAAGTGTCTAATATTATACAAAAAGTAAACAAGATTATGTAAGAAATAAACAAGTCTGACCAATAATGGATACAAATAAATATGCTAAAACTGTCTTGAAGATGCAGGACAACATTACAACAGATTAATAAACTTCATACTTGAAAATTTATAGAATCTACCTTAAGAAACTTTGGACTAAGAAATACTTCCTTTGTACAAATGCCTGACAAAATTAATTTTATGCACTACCTCCCAAGGCTAATCCAAATCCAGCCTAGACTCCAGGATTAAACAAAAAAGATCTAAAGAGTTGATCTAAAGTCAGATCTTAATCCTGAGGAACAGGCTGATTTTAAAACTTATTGTGACTCTTTTGATTCAGGCCAATCTGAGAATTTAAATCCACTTGAATCCAACCCCAAAGAATACCTGAACTCCTGAGCAGTGACAGGGCCAAAGCTAAATCAGGTCAGTACACCCTGCCAAGGAACAACTTGCTCAGAGGCGTCCACCAAAAAAGGATCATTTATCAGTTTATTCTTCACTTTGCTGGGAGCAAACCACTTTTAAGACAATATGTAAAAGGAGACTGATTAGACCCCACCAAACTCCATTTCAAACCCTAAAATCTGGAGACAAATGCTGGAGTATTTTAAATGGTCTACGGTTTAAAAAAATTATAAATGAACAATTTCAATTGTTAGCTGACCCAGTTTTAACATACTGAATGTTACTAATGTCATTTTTACACTTTCATAAAGTGTTTCAAAGCACAGTGTAGTAACTGCTTACACAACAAAGCCATGAAACAACTACAGCAACACCACAAATCTGTCCCACACAAATGGTTATGAATTTTATATTTACAGCATTCACATCTGTTAAAAGCAACAATAAGTATTTCTTTTGTAATCCACATGAATAATGATTTCTGGAACTTGGCAGGGTGCAAATCATGGTAAAAGAAAGGGTACCAGGGCTAAAGGCAAGACAGCCTTACCAAACAGTTCGTGGTCAAAACAAGGAAGCTGTTAATAAAGGAGATGCTTCAAAGTTTAACCTTGAGACATATGGTGGCAGTAGTAAAGCATCTAATTTGTGTCACAAGACCTAGGTCTGACTAAACTCTTTTACGTACTAATTATGTGGCTTTTTGCTAGTTACCCTGCTTCTCCTAGCCTCAGATGCCTCATACATAAAATGATAATATCACCATTATTACAGCCTAACTAGGATTAAATAAGAATGTGTCTGCTCATTCAACAAATACGTTATAATATTTTTTATTTTTATGTACAAAAAAACCCTTTCAAATCTCTTCAAATGAATCAAACATACATTAACTTTCAGTATTACCAAGAAAATTCAAATCTAATTATTAGGCTATGGTCCCAAAACTTTGTAGAAGGAAATTCTTAGATATTACTTGACAAAATCTGAACCCAAATAATGGGAACATTGATAGTACACACGTGACAACTGAGGGAGCACATCTTAAAATAGTTTTGACACAAATGAAAGGAGAATTTGCTAAGAGATTTTTTTCAATATTAAACAGAAAGAGCAATCCATACTCAACCTACAAATTGTTGGGTCAACATCCAATTTCAAACACAAAATCTCAACACTTAAAAATCTGTTTTCAAGAAAATGATATTAAGTAGAAGGCAAATTTGTCCTTGATACAACATGAGATTTTTTTTGTAAGAAAGCAACACTTAAAACTTACAAACTTGCAAATTACTGTAATATTCTAATAGGCTTAGGGTCACAGATAAACTCTAATTACCAATATAGGCTTTACTTGAATTTTGTACTTAACAAAATTCACCATAAAGCAAAAAATCATGGATTTGAGCACTTAAAAGTGTCCTTTTCAAATTCACATTACCAGAAGCCATCTGAAAGTTGTTTTCCCCACACCACTTAATAAGTCAAAACATCCACATAAACTGTATTTGGCATAAAATCGAAGTCATTCATATTTATCCATTATATACTTTAATCCTTAAAACAAGATAGTTCAACTTCCATGTTTATTCATAGCGTATTTACTGTCAACTCTGGTGGAAGAATTAAACACCACTCATTAAACTTTCAGAAAATGCTTTGAATTACAATAGATACGGACAATTCTAACTAGAAATTTACTCTAAAAATGGACGAAAGATTGACACCTTCTCCACACAGGTCAATCTATTAAGAAGGCAAACTAGACGGACCATGCAATTGGATGTTAAATAGTGGAAAGCAATCTTGGATTCATCCAACCAATTTTAATGTAAATTGCACCCCTAGGTAGAAAGTGGAATAGTAGTAGCTTTACGTGTTTCCCCCCCTCACTTGGAAATGGGTGCAACAGATGCTTGAGATACTAAGTTTAGGAGAAATAGTTACAGTTAACTGTTGAAGTTTCAGAACACCACTACCTTAGAGAAAATTTAATGAAGAGCTGACTCTTGATAAGCATAAATATTCAAAACATAGTTGCTTCTAGCTTTTGAAAATAAAAGTTTTGCAATCTTATAAAATCTGGTCTAGAAATCAGATTTCGAACTCAAAGGAAAGGGTTGGTCTTAATTTTAGCACTAATTACTTAAAGGCAAAAATAGAACATTAGTAAGGACACAAGAAGTTCTAACGTGGAGATGAACACTTCTGTCTCCTGAAGAAATGCTTCATTAGGTCCATTTTATGCTAGTTAATGTTTCTTATGTGGCACATAAATAGTTCAAAAGGGTTGATTTGAAGAAAAGTTCTATTCAAACATTACAATTTGTCTTCGCGTTGCCAGTAAGTGGCTTTGTTTCCAGTTTCATGGACTATGCTGGGATGTCAAGTGTTAAATTATTACTGCTCCAAAAGAGCCCTTGTTTCACTCTCGGGATGTGAGCATAACTGATGTTTAGAAAGAACTGATGCCTAGAGATGTTTCAAGAGCAACATCCCTCAGCCTTCCATCCCTCTCCACCCATTATCGACAATCGCATTTTGCCCTGTACATTTATTACGGCTGTTAACACTTAAATTTTTTAAAAAAGACACCTGCGTACACAATTTTCCTATTGCCACCAGGAAGAAAGGAGACTACATGGCTCGGTCTCCAGGAGCTTCAAGGAAACAGACATAGTAAAACCCGTTTGGCCGAGGAAGGGAGCGTTTGAGGGGTTGGGGAAGAGAGAGCCTAAGGGGGAGATAGAGGCGGCGCCTGTTTACAGACGCGTCCACCTCCCCCACCCCCAAAGACTCGGGTCCAAAAAGGGCTTCCTGGGCGCTGCCTCCTCCGGGCTGCGGGTCGCCTGAGGCCCGCTCCCTCCCGCCGCAGCCGCCCTCGCCCTCCCGTCGCCCTGGGCGGTGTCCGCACCGCCCCACGGCCTACCCAGCCGGGCAGGCCCTCGGGCGGCACGCGGCGGCCTGAGGCCTCGGGCCACGGATAAGCCCCTGGGCCGCGCGGGGGTCGGGCCGCCGAGGAGCGAGGCGAGGGCGAGGAATGCCCCTCACCCGCCGCGGCCGCCTATTGTTCCCTGCGGAGGCCCGGCGGCGGCCGCCCGCTCCCCACGCCGCCGCCGCCCGCCGCTCGCTCACCGCGCTGGTCCGAGCAGCAGCTCCTCTCAGCTCCGAGTCCCCGCGGCCGTCGCCGCCGCCGCGGCAGCCGCCGCCGCCGCCGCTGCCACCGTCGACTCTGACTCTGTCCCAGGCCGCCGGGCCACGGCCGCCACCGCCGCCTCCGGCCTCCCACCTGCTGCTGCCGAGGCTGCTCCTGCAGCAGGGGCCATCTTGTTGGTCGGCCTCCTCTTCCTCCTCCGCCTCCTCCTCCGCCCCGTCGTCCGCTGTCCCCGTCCCCTTCCTCTTCCTCGGGCTGCTGCCCGCCCCGGAGACGGGGGCGGGGTCGGCGGCGAGGTTCCTCCTCCCGGGGGGCGGGCCCCGCGGGGGGCGGGGCGGCGCGGGAGCAGAACTCTGAGTCACGGGCAGCCAACGCCCGGGAGGGAGCCGTCGGCGCTGGTGTCGCATCTCGGGTGCGTCCACGCCCGGAGCCGGAGGACTGGTCGGCCCGCCCCCCCGCCCGCCGGCCCGCCCCCACCGGGGCCTCTGCGCCCGTGGGCGAGCGGCCAGACGGCGACGGTGAGCTGGAAAATGTCCGGCGTTACCGTCAAGTCCCGCACTGCCGCTGCTCGCTCGGCTTTCTCAGCTCTGTCCCCTGCCCCGGTTCCCTTTCCCCACCGCCCTTCCCGCCCCGCCCCGACAAGCGTTTGTGCTTATCGCGGGTCTGTCCCCGATCCCACCACCTTGACCCTGGTCACCCCCGTCAGAGGCCCCGAAGAGTTCAGCCTCCCCGCGCTGCGGAGCGGCCAAAGGCCCGGACCCTCGCTGTTCCATCACGTCCCTCCCGGACTGTGGGAACAAACAGTGCGGCGCCATCTGGGACAGCGAAGGAAAGGATTCGGCCCTGGGACTAAAAGCTAACCGAGTGATTATTTCGAGCTTCTCCCTTACGGAAAAGAAGCCATTTTGGTTTTGGGTCTCGGAGACCCTTTCGGGACAATTCTACTTAACTAAACCCTTGCTTTAAAAAGGGAGAGAAATGGGATTCTTTTCATACCATGCAGTCCTAATGTCAAAATAAATCGTCTAGAATAGAGGAGAGATGGTCCTCAAACTCCCAGTTACTCCTCCACGTTATCGCCTTTTTTTGCTTCAGCCCTTGGCCAAGACAGCAGAGATTTTGCTTTCCTGCCCTTATTTCACTGCATACACCGCTAGTTCCAAGAAAGTAGTATATTTAGACAAGCTTCTGCCTTTTAACTTGATAAATTCAATCACCGCATTATTTGCAAAACATATCACCTCTGAGCCGGGAAGAATTCTATTTGCCAACACCCTCCCACTACTAATTCTTTCTAGAAGATCTATTGATGTCTTTCTGATGATTGGAATTTACTCCCGTTTAAGTGGACTAAATCTGTAACCTCATCAACCTACTAAATAGTAAACGCAGTCCACAGCAAACTTCTAGCTACCACAGAGGGTTTAGGTTAGTGTGTGCTAACCTGAAGGCGATCTCTTGGATGGCCTTTCCCTTCTCAAACAGCTAGGCCTCAGTCCCCTGCTAGGAAAAACAGATTCATCTGTTCCTCCTACTTTTCCTTCTTCTCCCTTCTTCTCACTCCTAGGGAATCTTTCACAACAGAAGGTTTTAGCGGCTGTTGCTAAGCAAACATGCCAACTTCCCTGTTTAAGTGAATCGAGTAACCCAACTACCATTACAAACTAGATAACATAAAGCTCCTAAAAAGTTCTCTTATAAAATATGATTTTTAAGTTAATTTTCATTTCATCAGTATTTCAGTTAAAAATAAGTTTAAAGTGGAATGGCTTCCCAAAATTCATTTTTAATGATATAATTAAACAGAAACGTTTGGCAGAGAAAGAAGAGCAGCGTTGGGAAAAAAACAAGTGTTTACAATGAAAACTAATCTATGAAAAGTCATTTACATGCTTTGAACTCCCCAGTTAGTCATATACAGAAAATAATTTGTCCCTTGAGGCTTAGTCTATTTAGAAGAAATATAATATGGTTATTTGGCAAGCAAAAAAAGATTATGAATTTTATTCCCTAGTTAATAACACTAAGATTTTTAGCTACTGAACTAAGCTCTTTATTTCCTGATTTTGCTGTTTAAAATTTTTGCTGTTGTTATGTAGTAGTAACATTTTTCAGGGTATTAAGAATATAAATGGGATTAAATAAGACATATTGAAATATATATTTACATTTTTTAACTCTTAAAATTGTGTAATTTGTTTTAATCCAGTGAAATTTGTATTAATTCAGTGAAACGGTGTTTGAGAATTATCTTGGGCTAAAATAAGAATGAATTACTAAACGCGGTTTAAATGTCTTATAGTCTTTTATGCTTAGAAACCACTATTGTGCAGTTTTAAGACAATTTAAACATTTTAGTTTTATTTTGTATTTTATTATTTAATTCTGATATGGAGTGCCTAGAAATTAAAACTCTGGCCTGGCCTCCACCACTGGTGTACTGTGAAAATTAAGTGAATCATTTCATGTAAAGAATTTAGAACTATGCACGACACATTAATTGTATAAAACCCACACTTTATGTATATGACATAATCTTTAGGTTCTTGATCATTCAAAGGAGGATGACAAGTTATCAAGTACATTTTTGTTCTTAATGTGAACTTTAAAAAAAATTAATGCTAATGCTATTTTTTAGGTCACACATAAATATGTTAAAAAGAATGCCTTATGAATTTTTCAGTGATATGCCTGTATTATATTATTCTTCCCTTGTTCTTTTTTTTTTGAGACTAGCCTGTTTTTTAGGCTATGCCAAATGACTTCTTTAAAAATTTTAAAACTTGGACAAGACCTTAGATAACCATTTATATCAAGAAATGATAGAGACTAAGGTTGCCTAGATCATCTACATACCCAGCTCTTTGTTTATAGATAAACACCATGTTATTGAGGGCTGGATAGAGAGAAGGAAGGGTTGGGATTGGAGGAAAAAATACAAAGATGAGCGAGTCATGTGTCCTTGCCATAAAGAAATTTAACAGCCTAGTAGGAGGAATACAATAAGGTATTCATGGAAATAACTAGAGTAGAAAGTAACTTGGTGATTATTGCACAGAAAGTATGTAGTTCTATGAAAGTTGAAAGGAAGATACTGTAGGAATCTTCATCCTAATATCACAGAACCTATCTTTTGACAGGTAGCAATACTATCTATGACATTAGATGTGTACCCAGAGACATGGAATTCAGGGCAGGGTGGGGATGAGGAAAGATAAGGAATGGGAAATTGGGGGTATGAGAATGGGTTTGGATTAACTAAAAAACCTCATTAAAGTTCGGCTGGGACCTAAGACCTCTCCAGTATAAATCATTTTTATGCAGGGGGAGGGAATCAGGACCTCAGATACGAACCATGCACAATATAGGGAGTACTAGAGCTGAGTCACTTGGATTTTCTGAATTGCTTTAAGTAAAGTCAGGGAGGGAGGCCTGCCAGTTGAGTCCTCTCCATTCTCCCCGCCCTCCCCTCCACCTGCACATAGATTCTCCACAACCTACTCCCTCCTCAGTCCATTCCTATTACCAGTGTTAAGATAAATGTCTAGAAAATAACAGAGGAAGATATCCCAAGCAATTGCACTAAGGAAATATGAAAAAAAAAGAATAGTTTCTGACCTGCCCTTCACCTTTAGAGTCCAGTCCGAAACCAGGCCTTAGGGGTTGCCTTGGATTTAGGGTAACAATACAAAGTAATCATGGCAGATGTAGCCCACATCAGTCCTGGGATTTCTGGAGTAGGTCCCTGTAGATCTGATTCAATAAAGCTAAATAAAATGATGTTTCTGAGCCCTACCTGAAGTTGCTTATGAACTGGTCTACCTTCCAAGAGGTACTCCAGCCCAACATTGAGCATCTCTGAACTTCAGCTAACCTTCTAAGACTTATTCCAAGCTGGTAATAAACAGAACACCTTTATGAAGGAGATCAGACAACTTTCAACAAAGAAACCCATTCTAGTCCTTACTTTGAACACTGTTATAGGAGAACACAACTCCACTTTACACTTGGCAACACTCACTGGAATATTGTTGGCTTTCATATTGTATTTGTTACAGCTGTTAGAACAAATACCACAGTCTGATGGCTTAAACAACAGAAATCTTACTATTCTGGAGACTAGAAGTCCAAGATCAAGGTGTTGGCAAGTTTGGTTTCTTCAAAGGCCCCTTGGCTTACAGATGGCCATCTTCTCTCTGTCTTCAGCGGTATTCACTCTGTCTGTGTGTATCCTAATCTCTTTCTATAAGAACTCCAGAATACCGGCTTAGGACCTACCTGTATGATATGACTTCATTTTACTTTAATTACCTCTTTAAATTTCCTATCTCCAAATAGAATCGCATTCTAAGTCACTGCGTGTTACTCTAACATATGAATTGGATGGGGAAGGGACACAGTTCAGCCCTTAACAACAAGTGCTCACTTTAAGAATATCTCACTTATGAATAAAATGCACAATTGTGAAGGTACAGGTTTAAAATCTACCCAGTTAAACTTGAAGCTCTTCTTTTTCTAATTATTCTCTACATCATAAAATATCAGTACTTTTGGTGTATAAATTAGCAACAAATAGGGCACTAGAATAAGAAAACTGATTACCAAAATTATCCGAGTCACACCACAATGAGAGTTATCTGAAAATGGACACTGGAACTTAAATAGACTCAGGATTAATATGAAATGATTAGTCTTTGTTATTTAGCTAATGATTTGAATCTCTTTTGGAGCTCTGTCTAAATAAGCAATTGTAGATATACTGAGGTCAAATATACTTTGTAACCAAATGATATTCTCTAGCACAAATGTATGTTCAATATCTCTTGGGCAATATTAGGTTTATCATGTCGTGAGGAGCCAGTTAAGCATGTGTAAAGCATTCAGGAAACCAGAATTTGAATGGTGTGCTTTAAGTAAGGTGGAGAGGAAACTTCCTTTTGCTCCATGCCCTACTTTGTAGGATCTGGATTTGGGGGAATCATTAGTTCTTTATAATTCCAAAGTATTAAGGTTAAACATGAGCTCTCCTACTTAGAGGGAGGTCAGGAGCCAAATAGGAAGACATCCCTATAGTCGACTCTTTATTGAACATGAATATTCAGCTTCACGTTCTCCATGAAGACTTCATTTATCTTTTGCTATCATCTGGGTTTGAGAAAAGTCTTACTTGCATGCTCCAGTTTTTTCCCAGCTGTGCTACCTTGTATCAAGAGGAGAGTTCTACAGTCACACTTAGGCAGCCATTCTCATACAGGCCTGTGTAGCATCAGTACAGGGCACTCCTCAGAGACACTGCAGGTTCAGCTCCAGATCTCTACAACAAAGTAAATATACAAATAAAGGGAATCAAATGAATTTTGGAGTTTCCCAGTGCATGTAAGGTATGCTTACACTATACTGTGGTCTATTAAATGTACAACAG